TCACAGTATATGAACAAAAAATTGGGACACATTGGCATGGGACACAGTGAGACGTGTGCAGCAAGAGAGGAATATTGAGGTCAACAACTTTAAGGGGATTGTGAAAACAAACGAGCTTAGTTTTCGAAATATTTATATTAATTAGATTATTCGCAAACCAGTTCATTAGCTCTGAGGTACAGTCTTGGAGCAAACCCATTGCTCTGGCATATGAGATATGGCTCGTCAGCAAAAGAGTATCGTCTGCGTATTGATAAATGGTGCAGTTTGAAACAGATAAACTCACGTCATTAACATAAATATTGAAAAGCAATGGTGAAAGAACTGGACCTTGTGGAACCCCCGCTTTTAAGGAAACTTTTATGCTTTGCATGCCATCGATGGAAACAAGCTGCGATCGACCTTGGAGAAAATTGTTTAACAGAGATAAGAATGGTCCCCGGAAACCGATAAAGGAAAGTTTTTGAAGCAAAATCGAATGGCACACCGTGTCAAATGCCTTACTCACATCTAGAAAACATGCGCAGATAAATAAGTTGTGATCAAAACCAAAATTTAACTTGTCTGATAATGCTTCAAGAAGGGGTTGTGTCCCACGTCCCGGCACAAAACCATATTGGGATTGCGATATTATGTCATATTTTTTTATATAAGAAGACATAATGATATAAATATACTTTTCCAAGATTTGAGCAAGACACGGAAGAATAGATATTGGTCGGTAGTTTTCAACCTGGTCCCGTTTACCTCCCTTGAAAAGAGGTTTAACAATTGAGGTTTTTAATCCTGAAGGAATGACACCCGACTCTATTATTCCGTTAAACATGAGTAGAAATGTGTCTTGTATGTGCCTAACATTTCTTCGGATGTCGCAGAGGTGAATTCCATCATACCCTGGTGATTTTCTAGGTTTGAGACTTGATATTATAGACTCCAGATCGATCATTGTCATGAGTGGAAGAAATGCAGAAGCTAAACAATAATAATAATAATAATAATAAAAACATCAACCGCAAAATGTGGTAGACAGAAAAACTCAATCAACTATCCCAAATGAATGGTCTTCGAGGTTATGGCTGGCCGGACGCCGTTACTATTGCCTAAGCTACTTAAATCTACATCTCGAAAACAAACAAAGTCCTAGAGTACGAAACGCCATTGCCAAAAACATTCCCCGGTCTGTTTACTTTCCCGGAAGCTATCAAACGTGTTCCCTGGGCGATAGTTTATATACCTGACGTCCGTGTGCCGACGCCCAGCGATATTTTATCGTCGATTTCATTATTTTGAAACGCGTTCCAGCTTACACAGGATAAGGGATTGTATCGCGGGCCATCCTTAAAACGGAAGACGAGGCTACATGTACACAACCCGTTTTAGTATGTAGAATCGCAACGTGCTTACGCCGACGTACGTGACGTCGCGGCAAAGCGCTTTCTCAGTTTATTTCGGGCAAAGCGCGCGTCTCACGGCAGGTTAACAAATGGGAGACACCGCCGCCATCTCAAAGCCAATACCGCCGAAACGCATAAACCTGCCAGAGGCGTTTTAATGTACACGCGCCATTGCGTCCTTAAATTAAAAAAAAAAAAAACTGAGCTACTGACAATTGAAGAAACGTGGCGAGTCCCGGATTTCTCCTTATCATCGCGTTACCAGAGGAGTGCAACTTCCTATACCGCCCATGGAACGCAAATTGGAAAACCCTGGGAGGCCGCAGCGCCATTTGAATCCCCTGGTATCTGGTGGCTGTACTAAAATCAACATGGCGGCACAGCGAAACCAAAACCGAAACTGCACGGCAGCGCCATTGTGTTTGGATGGATGGGCGGTAGCTTGCGCCACCTAGAGTTACAAATATATTTATTCTAGCTTTTTTTTTTTTTTTTTGCCCGATTTGCGCGTTGCTTTGCTAGGCTTCTGCTGCTTTGCGGCTGGTTTTCGCATTTCAATGCTGGTTAATGTGCGTTAAAACGTACACAAGCCAGCACTGAAAAGCGAGACCAGCAGCAAAGCAGCAGAAACCTAGCAAAGCAACGAAAGTGACACATACACAAAAAATATGCAATGCTTGTCCTTTTGCGTTCATTTTTATTCAATGGACAGTAGAAAATACAGACGAAATTTCTCACTGTTTCGCACACGAGAAACAAAGAAATGAACAACAAAAGAGGATAAAACGTTAAGGTTACGTGCGACTACGGTGATGATATGCGTCCTTCCAAATTTGATTATATAAGTAAGCATATAAGTAAAGACCGACGACGGTGTCTTAATTGCAACTAAAGGAAACTAAGCAATGAGTACCAAGAAAAACAACTCAGCTCTTTGGTATTGAGTCTTCATCGAGAACCTGCCCATTCGTTTTTAATATTATCACTTAAATTTAGGAGTGAGTCACTGCTAAACGAAACGGGAAACCAGAGCGGATCGCTCTATCGCTCATCCTCAGTTAATCGAAAAATATTTAGGCTCATATTTTCACTCCTCGCGAACAGACGCGTGAATCGCTGACAACAGTGCCAAATAAACAGCTCACAGCAAAAAGTTTGCCATCTTTTAAAGTGAGCATATGTGCTCGATTTTGATATGACAAAGTCTTCACAGAAGTCTCCAGTAATTTGACAATGACATATTTCTCGCGGCGAGTGAAGAGCAATCCTGAAGAATGATAGGATTTGGTTTTGTGATTGGAAACCATTGTAGCTATTGCCAAAATCAAACAATTAATACTCACTACCACTGCGACAGTTAGGTTTTGTTGCAAACACCTAATCAGAAACTTAAGCAAGAGAAGACCAAAAGAGCGTACCACACGTCCATTCGAACTCGAAACCATTGATATCCCGGCTTTCGGCAGTCATTGTTTCCCCACTTGGCACATCCGAAGGTGGTGTGTTGATGACGAAAATCCATGCTTGATCACATTACACCAACAACAAGTTCCCACGAAAAAGAAAAGAAAGCCGCGCGCGCACGAACGCGGGACGAATCTCGCGCCGCGACGCACTCCCAGAAGCGAAACAGCGCGCCTGCTCGCGTCCCTCGCGCGTTCTAACGGTCCACCGACTTCCCGGCGCCAGCGGCCAGCGCATCTCGAGGCGCGAGGCGCGGGTTCAGAGAGAGAGAAAGCGCGCCCAGACACGTTGAAAGAGTGAAAGAGAAAGTTACGATAACAAGCTTCAAAGCCATTCACACCTTCAAAACAACTTCACCTTTATTTCGCATCATTAAATTTATGAATCAATTTTATTTAAAATAAAATAACAAGTGCCAACAGCCGCTGGGAGTGCGGCAATCGGAAGCAGTTCGCCGGACCGGACAAACGTCATAAGTATACGCGGCGGGACGGAAGTAGCCGAAAGCTTCACCCCACTGGCGTTACCGCTGCGTAGCCAACGAGATTTCAGTATTAGCCTATAATAAAGCCGAAGAACCAATCACGAGCAAGATACCGGTGAATGTAGTAACAAATGCAACAAAAAACATACACTTATGACAAAGTTTGTGAGTTCACTTTTCTGGAGAACACGGAGACAGCCAATTGTGCCAAACATTCGAACCTACCATCGGATGGCAAAACTCGGCATGCAATTAGATTTAAAAAATGCGATGGGCTCAAAGACAATGAGCATGACGTTTCACTTGCTCACTTTTTTATATATATATATTTTCTTCGGAGGTGATCATATTCGAAGTTATGTCATTTGTTGCACACTTTCTATTCTATGCCGCTATTGGCTGTCTTCCTGTCCTGCAGAAATAATGAACTCGCAGGTTATTCTTAGAGTGCACGGTTGAATGAATGGAAACATGGAGTTATTATATAATATACGCTACAGGTTCGACTGGCACTAGTGTCTATGCGGCTTTCGGGATACAAATTGAAGCAACCTGTCTACTTTTGTGGTCCTCTTGTGCATTCCTATGGGAAAACACGCGTGCATTTTGTTTTACGCCGAAAAATAACATGGATCATTTTTGTTATTTCCGCAGTGCCTAACAGCGTCTATATTTTTAGAATTGTAATAATGTAATTGATTTAGTTACAGTATTTTACTTCGTCAGTGAACGATGTTAAACTTTGCTATATTTCAGGACCAAACCAGTGTTCCTTAGAGGGTGTGTAAGTACGATCGACGAATCTAAGGTAAATAACAATCGAAAGGAATGTAGAGTTTATACAAAGTTCACCAGCATTCCGGTGACGGTTATATTGCTAATATGCCAGTCTGGTGCATATATAAAATGGCCCCGGTCGTGCATCTTTACGAGCGGTTAAAAACATGCAAAACGTAAAGAATAGAGGACGTGGGCCACGAAAGGTCTCTCTTCTTAGAATTTCCAATGCCCGGCAGCTTTCATCGGGCACTTGTTTTCTAGCTTCCCCCTATTTTCAAAGATTTCGAACGTGCGGGTGATGTTTTGAGCGTATAACAAGCATCTTCGCACATATGCCCGAGCAGAGAGAATAAGTCATACTTATTTATTGCAAATCGGAGTCTATTACCTTGGCCTTGGCTTTGTTTTGATCGTCCACACGAACGTGTATTTGAATCAGTGTTACTACGGATTTCTTGTCGTCTCTCTTGGTTTTCCATATGTCCTTCTTCCTCTTGGCACGTAAATCCCCCATGCAGAAAAGCGCGACGCCGTGTTCACGCTCATAGTACCCGACAGCGCATATAAATGAATATATGAAGCCCTTTTTAGAAATCTGTTTAATGCATGAATTTTACACAAAAAATAAAACACTGTAACTGACCAATGTTCTCATTTACGTGATCCAGAAATTCTCACAAACTATTTACTGCGCGGAAAAACGACGACGAAGTTGAGAGAGATTGGAAGCCTTTTGCATCTGCTCCCTCGAAAACGTTATCTGTTTTTATTTTACGGGTGATACGCCGTGAAATTTAATTTCCGGCACCAAGCAGCAAGTTCCCGGTCCCGGCCCAGGGTGGTACTTCACCAGTAGCCCCGGGCCGAAGACCTCAAGGATGTCTGAACAAGCTCCATCGCTGGCGCCAGGGACCTCCGAGGGCGGGACACCCGGACCATCACATGCAAGTGCTCAGCAGCCAACTCAGAACGCCGTAGCCATGTCGCCAGTTGTCATGGCTACCAGTACTGTAAAAATCCCAACCAAGCGACGATGCCCGGACTTTGATAAAGATCCACTATCCGACGACGACCAAACCTCTACCTACACTGTTCACGGCACAGTCGCCCCATCGGAGGGAGGCAGTCAGGATCACATGCAAGACGTCGACCTGGACGATTACGAGAACCCTTTCACTGAAGTCCGATACAAGAAAAACCGCCCTGCAGGGATACCAGTAGTCTTTAAAACAGTCAACAGAGAAAAATCTTTCTGGCGCATCAATCCCAATGTTGTTGCCAACGGAGTGATTGGCATCGCCAAAGAGAAACTACCCTCGCACCGCATCAACAAGGATGGCAGCCTTGCTGTTAGCGTGGAATCTCTCCTAGCGGCAAACAGGCTTCTTGCTGTTACATCGCTTTGTACCATCGAGGTGACCACGAGTGTCCCCGAGTCATACTCACGGAACCTCGGGAAAATCAAAGGAGTCCCTCTTGAATACTCGGACGGTGAGCTACTCGAATATTTAAAAGATTTCGGCGTCCATAATGTTCAGCGCCAGATTGCTTACAGACGACAGGATAACGGCAAAGTCGAAGAACACAAGACTGAGAGTGTTATTCTTCGTTTCCGTCCGGATCGCCCAATGCCACAGCGCATTTTAATGGGTTTCACATCTCACCCTGTAGAGGAATACTTTGGCCCACCCATCCAATGCTTTCACTGTCAAAGATATGGGCACATTTCAAAATTCTGCCGTGGTCCACAACGTTGTAAAGTGTGCGCTGGGCCGCACAATCACAAGGCGTGTACATCTTCGCAAGACCCAAAGTGTGCCAACTGTGAAGGTCCACATCCCTCAACGTTTGCTGGATGCCCATGCAAGAAGTCCGCGACAAACATACACAAGAAGGAACTCGTGAACGGTAGGGATTACCGAGCAAAGAAACCAAACCCTAACCCAGACATTGTACGTTTTTCAAGGCCACCGCCATCTGAAAATCCAAAGAAATCAACGAAGAGAACGTACTCTGACGTCGTACAAGGGGCACCAAAAGAAGAGAGGAGAAGATCAAAAGCAATGTTACAAGACATTCCTCCGTCAAGAAATACCTTGGATCCTACGACACGGCCACCGGTAGCAGCACCTCGTAGAGGAAAGAACAATGAACGCAACCCACCAGCTGCTGCAATTCCAGGTAGAATACCTCAGGAACAACAAAACGACCTTGGACAAGTTATTGTTCCCATGCTTTTTGCTGCGCTTAGAGCAATAATCAGAACGCTGCCCGGTTCTAGCGACCTTCCGGAAGTTAGGGCAATACTGGCCATGGAACCACTCATCAGGTCAACATGCCCATTGGTGAGTGGATACCTCCATGGCTGAGGTCTATAAGCGCACATCTATCCTCAGTGGAATGCTAACAGCTTGCAAGGAAAATCAGGGGACTTTCGACAATTTGTTGCACAATATTCTTTCCCCATTCTGGTAATATCAGAGGCGCGTGTAAATAATCAATTTCGACTTGCTAATTATGTTACGTACCAATCAAAAAGGCCAAAAGGACCAAGTCGATGCTTAGTCGGAGTGCGTAAAGAATTTGGCTCGCTTCTGTTATTTACTTCAGATTCAAGTGCATTGAAGTATGTCGTCTGTAAAGTCAGTTATGGCACGACCTCACTTACTGTAGTAGGCGTGTATATAGAACCGCAGGAGACTGTGACAAGAGCAGAGTTCGAGGCCTTATTCACAAGACTTGAACGTCCCTACGTTGTTTGCGGAGATTTTAACGCCCATCATACCCTATGGGGCGGATCCCACTGCGATCCTCGAGGAAACCTTATCGAAAGCCTGGTAGACCAGTATGATATGTGAATTCTGAATGAAGGCTCTCCAACATACTTGAAAGGTGTAAACTATTCAAGTTGCCTAGACCTGACCTTGTGTTCCTCCGATCATTCACATGAGTTTGACTGGCGCACAGACTTGGACACGCGTGGCAGTGATCATTTTCCCATACTGATACACCATCCCCGGATTGTTGCTAATCGTGTTCCGCACCGGGTACACTTTACCAACTGGAAAATGTTCCGCTTTTTAAATAACAAAGAGGTGGAAGAAATTCAATCTCTCGAAGACTTCGAAAACATCATTAGCAGAAATTTTGAAAAGGCGACACGTAGGGTGCCCGTTCCAAAAGACCGTGGTTGTGTAAATGGCGAATATGAAAGACTGCGGGCTATAAGACGCAAAGCTGAAAGAAGGTATCGGAGATCTGGGAGAATCGAAGACTATCGCGAGGCTCAACACCTCCATACTCAAATGCGCCGACAGCTACAAAAGCTGGCTAAGCGTCATTGGAGAAAGCTTTGGGCCAGATTTTCTCCTTTCACCCAAATTAAGATGGTATGGAACATACTGCGTTCGCTTAGGTCCCCTGTTACGCAACAACGTCCATTTCGGGCACTGGAAATTTCACGAGGAACATCCGAAGTGACAGTGGCTGATGAGTTTTGTGCTTCTCTATCTCAACCAGGTGTGGCAATGTTATCGCCAGAATATTGTGCCTCTCGTGAAGCTGCACTGAAAGACGTTGCTCAAGAAATTCATTCCCAACACTGGCAACTCGACTATATTTTCACCATTCATGAACTTAATGAGGCGTTACGAACGATTCGTAAGCATACAGCCCCTGGGCATGATCACATTCGTTATGAAGCACTTACAAATCTCGGGCCGGGAACACTGCGCAGCCTACTTGATATTTACAATGATGTGTGGAACAGAGAAACCTTCCCAGCTTCATGGAAACTAGCGAAGATAATTCCATTACTGAAGTCGGGAAAAACACCGAAAGAGCTGGGATCATTTCGCCCAGTCAGTCTTACAAGCTGTGTAGGAAAAATCTTCGAGAAGATGATTCAATCACGTCTACAATGGTGGATGGAAACAACCGATGTATTACCGGAACAATTAACCGGATTTCGACCTCGACGATGCACTATAGACTCAGTCCTAGATCTTGTAACAACTATTGAACATGAACGGGCATCCGGAAATATGACGATCGCTGTATTTCTAGACGTGCATCGTGCTTTTGACACCGTGAGTCACGAACATGTTCTCCGTGGACTTCTACGGCTTAAGATACGAGGCCGTGTGATCCGCTGTATACGCAACTTTCTCATGCACAGGAAGATATTTGTAAGCACGAGTGAGGGAAATAGCAAACAACATGAACTGCACCACGGCGTGCCACAAGGCAGCGTGTTAAGCCCCACTTTATTCAATGTAGTCATGGCTGAACTGCCAAGTAAACTTCCTGCACCTCTGAATGTGTCCATCTACGCTGATGATATCTGCATATGGGTGTCTGGGTCTTCTGAGACCAAACTACAAGAACAACTGCAGTATGGCCTTAATGACACATACAGTTATCTTCGTGAAAGGGGCATGGACATTTCAGTTAAAAAATCTGCATTTCTTCCATTTACTAGAAAGCACCTTAAGAATTTTAAATTGACACTTCAAGGACAACATATTGAAAAGGTAAAGTGGCATCGTTTTCTTGGAGTTACGCTGGACTGCTCCCTCACATGGTCAAGACATATTAACATGCTTGAGGAAAAAATTAAGAGTCATTAACGTTCTTAGATATGTGGCAGGTGCCAGATGGGGAGGCTCGACTGATGGACTACTGCTATTGCATACAGCTCTAGTACGCCAGACTATCGCATACTCCATTCCTGTTTTACATGGCCTCTCACCAACACTCGAGAAACGCTTGACATACATGATTGCGCGAAGTTTGCGCGTATGCCTTGGACTCCCCCGTGCAACATCTAGTGACCTCGTCATTGCTGAGGCCAAGGAACCTCCAGTACCTGTTCTCCGGGAACAAGAAACATGCCGTCATTATCTTCGACTGGCTTCGCACTCACATGCCCGACCCTTGTGCCAAAAGATACTTCGACGGACGGAGTCTAGCTTTCACCGACTTCTCGTAGGACTACCCGTCACAGCACCCCATCATGCGCATTGGCTCCCAAGTCCAATCAACCCTCCGTGGACAATTCCGTCACCGGAGATACAGACCGAAATTCCTGGTCTTGGATCAAAATCTTCGGTGGCCCCCCTGGTGGCGAAGACAATGTCCCTCTCCCATTTAGAGGCACGCTACAAAGACGACATTCATATTTACACAGACGGGTCAACATCTAACAAGGGGTCAACATCTGCTTACTCAATTCCGATGTTGGACACATTTAAATGTTTTCGATTGTCCCATCATACATGCTCGACGTCAGCGGAGTTACATGCAATACTTTCAGCATCATCATTCATTGAAGCATTCGGTACACCATCAAACTGGGTTATTCTAACGGACTCGAAATCATCCCTAGAGTTATTACAGGGCATGCACCTTCGTACTACCCAGGCGACCATTCTATATCGGGTGCAACTCACATTAGCACAAGCTCGACTCCACGGACATAACGTCAGGCTACAATGGATACCGAGCCACTGCCAAATCGCCGGAAATGAAGAAGCTGATCGCCTGGCAGCTCAAGCTCACGATGGTGACGTAATGGAAGCGACATCCTTTACCTCTGGAGATGCAAAATTCATCCTTCGTCACTTACGCCATCTACGTTGTCGGCAGTGCTGGCTAAAGGACACTTCAGCAAACACTCTCCTACCATATATTGACCCGGATTTTGAGCTTCCGCCACACACCGGGATGAAAAGAAAATACGACGCATTAATCCATCGACTCAGACTTGAAGTGGCCTTTACTAATAGCTTTTTATTTCGAATTAAACGTCGAGATTCGCCAAGATGTGACTGTGGAGAACCATATCAAGATTTACAACATATCCTCCTTGACTGTGAACGCTTTCGACATGAAAGGCGCCGGATGGAGATTCGCCTTCAAATATTAGATGATAGACCCCTGTCTCTGACCAAGTTGCTGGGGCCCTGGCCAACGCGTAAAAAGCAAGACAGAGCAATGAATATCATTCATGACTTTCTAAAGGACACTAGAATCGTGTATGATTATTAAGTGCGAACGTGCGTCAATTTTAACGTGAATGACTATGTATGTAATTTAGCAAATCGGTGCACGACTCCGAAACGGTCGCCTTATTCGCAATTGTAATTAGATTTGTTTGTAAGTTTTTTTTTTTTTTTTTTTTTTTTTACGGTTATACTTTATGTGTTTTATCTTTATTCTTTTCCTTTTATGTTCTTCCTTTTATTTATATATAATTTCTCTCTCTTTCTCGTTATGGAGTAGCCGGTGTCATTTAAAGAATACCAACATCTCTATAATAAAGAACTTATCTCTCTCTCTCTATTTACTGCGCTATAATTATTTGTATTATTTGCTCTTATAGTCAAACCCAGAGGGAAAAAAAAACGCACTCGCTTTTCCCCGTAGAAATGCATTACTGGAAGTAAATTTTCGACTGGTTCCTGTCTGCTTCAGTTTACAAGAGCAAACTAGCGCCAGTTGAACCTCTAGCGTACATTATAATAACTCTATGCATGAAGACGTACGACAGCCCCTTTTGAATTGGGTGGCAGCTTGCGCCACCTATTTTTGTTTTCTGCTAGTGCTTTTGTATGACGCATTAGCAGTGCGACCGTGGATTACATCGTGAACTCTCTCAACCGCCGCGAATCCGAGAAAAAAGAAAGCCCCGAAGACAGCCCTTTGAATTTTTTTCTCTTTGCTAACCACGGCAGGTTGGTCAGAGTAATCTGTAATTTGCTCTCTATAGCGGTTTCTTTCGGCAGAGAACTGTGCACAGTGCCTGCTCTTTGAATAGACGACCCTTTGGCAGCCTGGCATATATATCTGGTATCTAAAAGCGGCGCGGCATTTCCTGATTGCCGCACTGCCTGCTGCATGCGATCCCGCGGTGGTGGGGAGTCAATGCGTGTATGCATTGTTTGCGCGGGGACTGTAGTATATCTTCGACGATATTGCTGCTGGTTTTCCCCCCACGGGGAGTCGGGCGGCACTATATATTCTCTCGCTCGGGTTCGCTTCATCCTTCTCGTATAGAAGGCAAAAATGCTTCGTTCTCGGGGGACGATTCGCCGAAACGAGAAAATGAATGCGCATCACGCCGCTTTACACCCGACTCAATTTCCTGGTTTCTGGAATACGGTCGTCGGCTCTTGGAATCACGGTCGTTCGAGCGGAAAACTAAAGTCTCGGTTATACTGTCGTCTTACATCGTATACAAAGACACGGTGTTCGTTGTAGACACGATAAAAGAACTATCTGCGTGCCCGCAGACAGTTCTTTTTTTTTTTATATGACGAATGTGACCGTCATACAAAGAAGAAACACGCTTTAGACAGTGTCTGCCGACGGACTGTCTTTTGTACGATTGATTAGCGGTATAGTGGGAATGCGGCTTTAAGGCTACTTCACACATTTGCGTTTCGGTGTGGCTGAGAGTTGGCTTTGCAACCGGGTGCAATCGCTTAACCACGAGAGAAGCCTCTGTCACGCTGGCGCCATCTATTGGGCTTAGCCTCGGAACACTTTTCCACTAGCCTGTAACCAGTCTGAAGGAGTTGTGGGATTTACTGGATCGAATCTACACACACACTCACTGTCATTTGTGGGAAGTGGTCGCTTAATTTTATAATACCCGAAATTATTTCAAGATTATAATGGCAAAAAAAAAAGCGTCGAAAAAAAACTGACATATACGTGGATGTAAAGACTTTCACGCGGCGCTGCCCGATAGATGGTGCCACTATGCTATTTGTCGCAAGGGGTCATAGGCGGTTGCGTGCCACGCACTCGGCAACGCTCAAACGCGCTTCTGTACTCGGTAAATATCACACCAAGCAGGCTTGTGCTCGTTATTCGAAAAATGCGATGGACTACAACTACAAATTACCGAGCCTCAAATGTAATGAATTACCGTTACAAATTACTTTCGCTGAAAAGTAACGAATTATTTTACTCGTTACGTTACAAATTACTTTCAAGATACTTTTTCCGTATACTTATCCAGACAATAGAAACAATTTTCATGTTTTTCAAAAAATGGGCCCTCTTTTTTCCCCCTAAAATTATCGGTGTGTCCTGTGATTATTAATCTCGTTTCTCAAAATAATTAAAAGCGCCGAAAAAGACAAGGACAAAGAAGTGGAACGACACAAGGCGCTTCGACGTGGATGCTTCCCAGAGAACGTTATTGCGTTATTTCGTGCGCCTTGTGTCGTTCCACTTCTTTGTCATTGTCTTTTTCGGCGCTTTTAATTATTTAAAGAACCATGAACCAACTGGCTCAACTTTCCACTTTGCTGCTCGTTTCTCAAGTTTGTGATTTTCTTGTTTTTTTTCGATAGCTATCAGGCAGCTGTCCTAGACGGGAAAGGTATTCGATTTCAACAGTGACTTTTGAAGTGCTTTCGAAAGTTGCACGAGACCTAAGCAAGGTAATCTTAAAATTAAACGCCTGCACAGGTGCGTTGGACATCACTACAAACAACTTTTGATAGCGAGCATGGACAATTCCGTATCTCCATTTCCCAAGCTGTGTGCTATCGAAGGTACAGGTGAGAGCGCGTAGCCGTGCACGATGCGTTCTTTGCGGGAGCACTTGCTCAAAGAAAGCTTTTCCAAAGTCCCCAAGCTTGCACCCATGTGCCAGCCAGCCATTAGTAAAGTCCCTCTATCCTGGGAAAAGTGGAGCCATTCATTGTTGTGGAAATGCTCGAGACACGTGCCGCGCGAAACTTCTGGGAAGAACATGGCGTCTGAAATCCAGCTCAGTACTGCGCTGTGCTGCCACAATATTTCCATGGGCTGCACGTTGCACGTGCCTTGTTCATTGACGCACTTTGCGCTACTTTAGAAACACAAGGGGCTTTAGCCAGGAGGCGATGCCAGCGAGAAGCGTGCGTGTTCTCCTATGCGGAGAGGCTGATTCACACAGACCTGTTTTCTTGTGTTACGCTACGTTACGCTACGCAAGCTTATGTCCAAGTCACCAGGAAATCTATGCTTCGTATTAAGCGTGGCTATCAATTCAAGGAGATAGCCTGGCACGCGACATTCTAAACACGAATGTTTCGGTGATGGCGAGCCAGGACGGTGAGTCACCGTGGCAGCCAAGGACACAAGGCTCGCCGTAACGTAACGAAAGGAGTTGAACTCGGTTCTACTTTTCACACAGCACCGTTTTCTTACGTTACGTCTAAGTCACCGAAACATTCGTGTCTCGAATGCCGCGTGCCAGGCATACCTCCTCGAATCGGTAGTCACGCTTGATATGAAGCACAGACATCCCTGTGGCTTGTACGTAAGCTTCCGTAACCTATAGACGATTGCAAACAAGGCATCTGGCCGCCGCCATGTTCCCGCTCGTGTAGGCTACCACTTGCAGCTTCAAGCTTGCCGAAGCTACGTTCGCGCGCACGCTGTGCGTGCTTGCACGCATGAGGCACCAGTCAGGATGCCATGCTTCAAAGATCTATAAGTAAGGAGTCGGGGCTGTGTGAACCAGCCTTACCCCCCATTCACACTGGAAGCGGATCCGCGTTCGCGAAGCGGTTGCGAACGCGGTTGTATGAAGATCCAGTGCAATTGCACGTGCATTTGATGTCATCAAACGCGCGTGCAATTGTACTGAATCCTTATACAACCGCGTTCGCAACCGCTTTGCGAACGCGGATCCACTTCCAGTGTGAATGAGCCCTTAGGGGCCGCAGTCACATTTTATAACTCTTTATCAACCATATCTCACTACCGCCGTCACCGCTGGGCCATACTAAACAGTCGCCACCTAGCATTCCATCGTTCAATGAACGTTTAACCATCCCCATGACTTCAGTACCGCTGGAGCCCTGTGCAGCTTTATACTCTTCAGGTGGAGTTTTACTTCGAGATTGGTGGCCGAGTTGGCTAGCGCCAGACTTGTGCTCGTTACTTGAAAAATGATTACAGTTACAAATAACGGAGCCTCAATTTCAGTGGATGACCGTTCCAAATTACTTTCGCTGAAAAGTAACGGATTACTTTACTCGTTATGTTACAAATTACTTTCTCGTTACTTTTTCCGTACACTTGTCCAGCAAAGGATATCGCAAGAGCAGTAGGAAAAAAAAAAAAAAAAGAGAGGTTAACCCAGGCGGCTTTTCATGGTTGGTTACTTCGAGTTGTGGAAGGGAATAGGATGATCAAAGAAAGATGAAAGAAAGAGCAGAAGAGACATGAGATACTTGCTACCACCCGCGCTAACACTGTGGATGTAGAATGTTGCCTGTGCATAATCTTCTTAGTGCCGGTCTCGAAAATAGCGCAGAAGCTGAAACAGTGAAAGTACGTCTTTTGCATAGTACCGTCTCAAATAACGCGGGTTGTGTGTGCGAGCATAAAGTCCAGGTGAGTACATGTAGGGGCAAAGGACAGAAGCGTACTAGCCAATGATAGTATCATGACGCCCGCCCGACAGCGCATTAGTAGGCCTCTGTGATTCTTATCTACGAACTTTTAAAAAAAAATCAACCGCTTTTCTATTTCTGTTTGTTTTCTGTTTTAGGAAATGAGTATTTAAGCGCCAAATTCAGTGCATGTGTTGAAAGCGAGTGCGATGGATGACTTACATATATCACATGTTTTATACACTTACATATATCACACCACGAATGACATAACGTTGTTTTTCTTTACTTACAAGTAAAAAAAAAAGTAAGGCGCTCTCTTTTTAGGGCAACTTTCCTGACAACCTGTCAGACTCAATCCGTATCCGCTTTCATATAAAATTTGTACCAAGGCAAGATACCAAGGCATGAATGCTTCCGGATAACTAAATGAAGGATTCACTTGCGTGGACACGTGATATTTCTTTTTATTATTGACTGTTTAGTATTGTAGATGTAGCCATTGTGTCGTGCTCACACAACAGGCCAATGTTTCGAATTCCTCATGACTAATGTAACGTTCAGAGAATGCTATGAGAGCGAGTATGTGGCTTCTCACAGCACTGATGAATTGCAGACAACCAAAGTTTTCACCCCCCGTTTATACAC